TTTGTCTCAGAGGTACAGATCTGAGACTCAACTCAAACCTAGGATTCTAAACACACTGCTTTTCTTGATAGTTTGTGTGCTGTCACCACCACACAAAGCCACCATTTTCCAACGAGCCTTTAAATCATTTGGAAATGGATTTGAGAAACAGGAATCCTGTGCTTTTACCGGTTTTTTGTTTCTTTATGAAACAAACAGCAAGCAATACTTCTGAATGCCACATTGCATGACTAGGTCACAGAATTCCCCATTCTGCCTAGGAAGATGTCCCTTTTGAAGTTCTGTGTGTTTTAGTGACGGTACACTATTTGTAGAAAGTGGGTTTCAGTATAAACCATAACCACAGAGGTAAATCTATGGTTCAGTGTATGATCTGACGTACAGGAAGTGTCTGGGTCTAATGATGAAACTTTTTAACTTTCCAGATGACAGAACAAAGGAAGCAGAAACAAAGAATTGGTCTTCTAGGACATCCTCCTCATATGAATGTCAACCCACAGCAACCAGCATAAGCAAATGAAATAAAGGAATCTCCTGTACCTTTTCTAATTATTATTAGTGTGGGTATGGCTACTTAGTTCTGATTCACCCACAAAGGTGACATTAATGCCTAGTACATTTGTAAATAATCAGTTTTATACTGTATGTATATGATTGCTACTCTAAAGGTTTGGATATATGTATTGTAATTAGAATTGTTGGCATGATGAAATTTGTGCCAAAAATATTAAAAATGCCTTTTTTGGAAGGACTGAAGAAAGCATCTGATTTGCACTTGAACCAGATTATAGATTTAAAAGTATATGACCTGTATTTTGTATTTAAAACTAGAATAGCCAGTATTTATGTTTTTTATAAAACTGTGCAATACGAATTATGCAATCACAATGAATTTGTAACTCCTGAGTGTCCTAAAGGGAGTGCACATCTTTGAAGCTGGTGTGTTAATACTATGTAATAAATGGTTAAATATCAAATTATGCTGCTGCCAAAATCATACGAATAGTGAGTTTCTGGCCCCTGGGCGTTTTGTACCATATACTTCTCTGTGGTGATACTGTTTCTCGTTGCTGGTGGCATTAGGGCCTCTGTCTAATAGTGACAGTGCTCCAAGTCAGCATTCATTTTAAGAAAAGCAACTTTAGTTTCAAAGATAATTTTAAGCTTCTGAACTGATCATTTAAACTTTAAGTAAGAGCTAAATTAGAAGCTCAGACTTTAGCTTGTGAAGTTAATGAATTTTTGAAAGGGAACTTTTTATGCAACATTTGGAATAAATGCATACTGCTGGCCAATCAGTGTCATCTCCAAGGTGAATTCTGGTGTCACGCAATAAAGAAATGAATAACTGATGGTGTCTAGATTATCTAGTCCAAACAGTAGAGTTGATTTTTTTCTTCATCTGAACCAACATGCTACAGTAGCTAAGAAGTATTTAAACTATATACATCCATATAAAGATGAAATATGATCTATCCCATTAGAACTCATAGTTGAACACTGACATGTTATTCTTGTGAAAGAGCCAAATTTTGGTTTTATTTCCTTGTCACATGATTTCTTTCCTTGATGGATGAAAAGTATGAAAGGAAACTTTTATATCTGTTGCCTAGTTTTGTACATGGATCTCATTTTACAAGAGAATCTCTCTGCAAAAAAAAGTTTAAAAATGTACTGAAAGCAGAGTTCTGAAATGAGTAAAGTTTGTAAATGCATATATGAAAATAAATATTTAATGATGCAGAATAATATACAGTGGCGGACTGGTGGCTTTCATTTTGGCATTTCTTTGTGTCTTAACAGCTGTTCCAATTACTTATTTTCCTTGGGACCAATTTAAAGTGCAACTGGTTTGGTTACCAGATTAATTCTGAAAATGCTTACCTGATTAGCGAGTGATCAGGGAGTGTTTAATACGATGTTCATTCATTTTTCTAGAGCGGCTGCCAAGCAGACTGTCCTGAGCAGCGAGCACCAGGGCACGCGGAGGGAAAGTCAGGGGTGGGCTCTGATGAGGCTCCGGCCTCCTGGGCTTTCCTGGGACTCGAGGGCTCTGACTTGCTGTCTGCAATAAAACAGTTGCCGTTTGTTTTACTTCGTGTCCAGTGGTTGGAGGCCTTCAGCAAGACTGTCAAAAATGTTTCACAGAGCTGACTCGTCTATCCAAAGGTAGTAAAACTTGTTCCCTCCTCAAAGCAATGCCTGCCTGCTTGCTCTTTTAACACTGATTCTCTCTGTGCTTTGGTAAATACGAATAATTACCACCCAACGTTGGGAACTAGGTCAGGATTGAGTTCCAGTTAAATGACTAGTTTCATAACCAATGCTTCTACGTTATAAATTTGATAACTTAAAAAAACAAATGAATAATTTTCCAGTCAATGCAGTGTATCTCCGTATTTTTCCGTAATAAGGCAAACCCAAGATAGACACACACTTGAACCTGTAAACAAAAGCGCCGTCTCTGTTGAAGCCCACCACCTGCGCTTGAGCCAGCGAGGACTTGCTCCTCCTCGGGGTTCTCTTTGATGTCTTGTGCTGCCCAGCACGGCGTGGCAGTGTGTGTGTGGTTTGTCTCCCCAGTCCCATCCAGTTCACTGGAAAGTTCTGCATTGACATGTCCAGGTTGCTGCGTTTACAGGTTTGTCATGTTTCATCTGAATCCTGTCGCTTAAGATATAAATCTTCATTCAATTTGCCAGCTTCAGCAGAAAATAAATGGAATTGGAATGCCACTCCACCCTGTATGTGGCAGATCCTACCCTGGGAGTTTGGGTGTGAACACAAAGCTAGTATAATTGAAACATAAAATCTGAAGTTAAAACTTTTATAGCCTTTGATGTGTAATTGTGATTTCACCTTTCTCCAGATGTTGCTTTTTCAAACACTTCTATTTCAAGGATAGAGGTCCACATCGCCTTCAAATTTGCCTGGTATTATCAGGCTGAGTAACAAATGTGGTAATAGAGTGCTAATATGCAAGAAAGTCTTTTTGGCTTTATTTAATTTTAAAAGGTTGCTGTAGCACCAATCCAAAATTCCAGATTTTACCAATTTCCTTAAATAAACCATTTGTTAAATCAAAGGATCTGGGAAATTCCATTCCACTTTTCTAACATTTATAATATCTTGCCCTTTGCTACTTCTGTATATAAAACTGTGTACTGATAAACCTTCTTTTCCCTGCAAAGAAAGCTTCTACTCTTTGCTGGGTCCTAAAGCTTTAAATGCTATTCCATCCCATACAATTTTTCTTAGTACTGTATCTGTCTCTACTCACCCCACACACATACAAAATACAACTTCTTTTATTTCATTCTTTAAAAATTTGATTCAACTTAATTGTTTTGTTTCCAAGTTCATGCTTCTTATTCGTTGTTCTTCACTCAGCCAATTTTTTTATTTGGTTGTACTTTCTGAAAATGGATTGCTTGATTTGGGTCCTATAAAAACTGCTCTTTCATCCTGTTTAAATATTTCCTAACATAAATTATAAAGCAAGCATACTTTATTTCTGGAAGCTAACCAACAGTCTATGCAGTAGAGCAAACTAAACAAAGCTTTACTTATGTGCTAGTGGGACATTATCAAGATCTTCACAGTAAACTAAGGAATTAACCTGTTAAAAATTCAATTCTAGATTTCTCTATCCTCCTACTGAGGATGGTCTACTATCCTCCTACTGAGGATGGTCTACTATCCTCCTACTGAGCATGATAATGCATGAATGAGAAATAGCCTGGAAATTTCTGACAGTTATTTTAAGGCTGACTTCTGGGCTGCAGAGATGGAAATTTACTCCTTCAAAAATACTAAATACAAAAGGGGCATAACTACATACTTCTAGAAGTAGAGTTGGTTTTTGCTAAAATAATGTTTTTACAGATTTTAAAGGACCGAATAGGTACTTGATAGAAGGTGTAAATTATATGACAATAAAAGTCACTTTTATAGAAGACAGGATATTACAAAGGTCTCCTACAGAAGGCTCTTGAGACAATATGCTGTATCTACCAAACCATACAGCAGGAGTGAAACTCATTTCAAAGATAAGAAATCGAGAGACTTAGAGGGGCGCTTGGCTGGCTCTGGCGGTAGAGCATGTGACTCTTGATCTCAGGGTCATGAGTTCGAGCCCCATGTTGGGCACAGAGATTAAGGAAAAAAAAAGGAGAGAGAGAAAAGAAATTGAGACTTGGAGAGGTAAAGCAACTGGCCTAAGGACTCAGTTCCAGAATAAACAAAGGTCTCCTGACTTAGCCAAATACAGAGAGCATTCTTCCCACTTACTACCTGTCTTCCAGAATGGGACTGTAATATCTCATGAGAAATCAGTTTTCCACAAGAGTTCTCCCATCACAGAAAGTGCTTAGGGAGAATTGCACTTTGTCCTACGATGCAAATCGACTTTTCTTTACAAACCTATTTTTATAAGGGATCTACAAGTTAGAAAGTACTGAATATGAATACTTTGTCAAGACTGAAAACTGTGGCAAAGATAAGCAGCTCCTAAAATCTCTCTTTTACAACTACCAATCTCATAGAATACTTCTTACTTAACTGCATTTTTCAGAAGGAGAATCTGTTCTCTCAATGAGGGTGGCTTCCTCCTAGTGAAAACATTCAGATACAGATCACTGGCATCCTATCCTACCACAGAAGTAGGTGTTTATTAGCAAACCCCAATTTGCTCTTGTTCAGTATACTGATAATTTGCTAACAATCAACTAGAGTGTTGGAAAACCCCCATAAAGATTTCAATTTTACAGAAAGTACCCAAAATTCCACCAGTTTTGCATCACAAAGTAGTGGTTAAAGTAAAGTTTTGAGTAAAATGCCATGTGTGTGGTTTTTGTGGGTGGTTGCAGCTCAAAACGACTATTAGGCCTCATCAGTTATCTACAGGGGAGAGCTATGATGGCAATTATAAATTAAGACAATTATGATTGTCATAACTTTTTTTTCTTCTTTGGCAATATATACCACATTGGTAATTCTTGCAACCTAACGACAACTCAGAACCATAACTAGCCTTTAAGTGTGGACCCCCAAAACCTGCCAAAATAAAGAAAATAAAAAGGTCGATCCCTAGGGGGTTTTGACATGTGGTCAACTCCCAACAATGCTTATGGACTATGGGTTCTCCAGGTGCTGGTATTTTAAACTCATCTGGTAAAACAAATCTCTAGCTTACTGGGGGTACCACATTTTAAAGAGAGAAAAATTTACCAAAGGAGAAACTTAAAATACTTTAAGGTCATGACAAACCAGTGTGAAAGAGAATCCTAACACCTAGAAGTGAAACTGCATCATCCACCCAGCCTGGAAAGAAAAAAGAAAGCTAAAAACCACTATAGAATAAGAATGCAGAGTTTGAGAAAACCCCTAAGGTGAATTGTGAACAACAACAAAAAAGAGCCCCCACAACATAAGAAATGCATACTGTATGCAAGAACCACTAATGGAAAGAGTTTGCCAGCATTTCTGTAATTACCTCACAAAAAATGGTTAGTCCCATGTAAAGAATGGAACTTTCAACAATCCAGGAATTTAACTGTTCATTCCAGAACTCAAGTTATTTAATCTTTTTTCATATGCTTGTCAGCTATAGCATCTCATCAAGTCTTGTCAGAAGCTTTCTGTACGAGTTCTCTGGAAGAACAAAAATTGAGATTTGGTATGAAACTAGGACAAGGAGCCCAGAAGCGCACAAGGCTTGGGGGCCAAGCACTGACTCACTTCAGAGCCCACATGGCAGCACGGTGGGATGAAAGGAACAAGGACCTTGAAGTTGGTTGAGAGTCTTCGTACCAGCTCTGCCACTTCAGTGCTATGACTTCGAGCAAGTCCTTTAATCACTATAATTGTCACACCCCATCTAAAGAATGGACATCACCACTTACTTCTTTGGGCAATAATGAGCATTAAAGACACTTGAGCATGTCAAGTGTCTATATATATATATCCAATACATGCTCTTACCCATTTCTTTGCAACATAATCACTTCCTTTCTCATACCTATCCACAATCTCAGCCAAATAGTAAATGACCAAAGATGCTTTCTGTTTCTACCAAATGGGCCTGATACTACTGTAGGATCCTAAATCCTCATGTTTGAACATGACACGTTGGGATCACATTGAGTCATTTTTTAAAATTGTATCTCTAACATCCAAACTATGTCTTAATTACCAATCTGAACTGAATTTATACAGAAAGGAAACTATCCCAGCTTATGACTTCCAGATAATTATTCTCATATTTGTGATCAGTGTTGAATTCAAATCTGACTTTTCAAAATATTCTTCATAGAAAGATGTTTTATCTTCTGGAGGATGATGTGTTTCCTTAGTTTATGAAATGCTTTCTCTTTTAAGATTTTATTTATTTTTATCATTTGAGAGCGAGAGACAGCAGGAGCAGGGTGAAGGCAGAGGGAGAAGCAGACTCCCGGCTGAGCAGGGAGCCCGATGCGGGATTCGATCCCACGACTCCAGGATCATGACCTGAGCCGAAGGCAGATGCTTAACCAACTGAGCCAGCCAGGTGCCCAGTTTATGAAATGCTTTCACCTACATTCTCATTTACACCTCCCATTATCCCTGACATCTGCATGGTTCTAAATTATTCCATCTGTCATTTAACATGCAAATGCATATTTTAGACCAGATCTCACATAACGGTGGAGAACCCAGCACTCCTAAGGAGGATCCTAAGGAGGGTGCTTAGAAGTTCCTGGGCGCCTGGGTGGCTCAGTTGGTTAAGCGACTGCCTTCGGCTCAGGTCATGATCCTGGAGTCCCTGGATCGAGTCCCGCATCAGGCTCCCTGCTCGGCAGGGAGTCTGCTTCTCCCTCTGACCCTCCCCCGTCTCATGTGCTCTCTCTCATTCTCTCTCTCTCAAATAAATAAATAAAATCTTTAAAAAAAAAAAAAAGAAGTTCCTAATGACTCCTTGTCACTTCTGATCCTAAACCCCAAATGCAACCTGACTCTCATCATCTGCCCTCTCTTTCACTTCACACCTACTGCTGACACAGCCTGCTCTACTCTCTGTCCCCAAAA